CGCACGCGCACGCGCACGCGCACGCGCACGCGCACGCGCACGCGCACGCACACGCACACGCACACGCACACGCACACGCACACGCACACGCACACGCACGCACACGCACACGCACGCACGCACACACGCACGCACGCACGCACACACACACACACGCACACACACACGCACACATTCACACACCGTTACTGCTGTCCCTCGCTGTCCGTCATCACCCTTTGCCATGCCCAGTGTTCTCCCCTCATCCCACCCCCTTCTCCTCTGTAGGTCCCATGACGGACCTGGCTCTCCAAACGTCACCAGCGAGGCGTGTCGCCCAAACCACGCTGCTTGGTCTTTTCTCTTGGCTGGAGGTGGGTCTGAGTCATGCTGCTATCCAAGGCTTGGGCCAAGCCGCCCAAGAAACCATCGCCTCCCTCGGATTCCGTGCGCTGCAGCTGGCAACCCGTCCACCAACGCCCGTGGGATCACGGGTTTTGAAAATGACCGGTCTGCTACAGGGTGAAGTGTGTGTGTGTGTGTGTGTGTGAATGTGTGTGTGCCAGGCCCGTCCCAGGGCTCTCAGCGAGTGTACTCGAGGGCACTGCCCCAATCGCTCCTTTGCTCGGGCACTGCCCCAATCGTCATTTGCACGAATTGGTTTTGTTACTCGTTCCACGAGCGGGTGCCAAGTTCGGCAGTGAAGTGGCACGGCGCCACGCGATGTCCTCAAGACACAATGCTTGGGGGCCGATCTGCCAGGGTCGGCATCATACACCAATTTGGGGCCACCGTGGACTCCACGCGGTAACTTGTTGCACTGCGGGTTTGCAAGCTACGTGGTGCAATCTCCGTGGTGTAAGCTATGTGGTGAAATACATGTGGTGCAAGATCTATGGTCCAAGCGATCTGGTGCAGGCTATGTGGTATGTGAATGTGTGTGTGTGTGTGTGTGTGTGTGTGTGCGTAATGGGGGTAGGCTCAGAAGGGGATCGTCGAGCTTGATTCGGCGATCCGTTTCCGATAGGAGCATGATAGCCCACCCAGCACCAGAACGTGCGGACTCGCTATCGGCGGCCTATCCGATCTATTGGTGATGTACAGAAGGATTTCAACTCGATGCTTCCACCCGAAAGCCTGTTCCTCGCTAGCGCTGCCCCCGACTCCCTTTACGCTTCCCCTCCTTCCTCCTCCAAAGGGCAGGCGGCGGCGAAAGCGCGCGGCCTTGCCGCCGGCTTTGCCGGTGGACTTCCCGCCGCCCTTGCCCTTGCCCTTGCCCTGTCGCGCTGGCGGTGGTGGTGGTGGTGGTGGTGGTGGTGGTGGTGGTCGTCGTCGTCCGTCGTCGTCGTCAGAGGGAGAGGAGGAGGAGGAGGAGGAGGAGGAGGAGGAGGAGGAGGAGGAGGAGGAGGAGGAGGAGGAGGAGGAGAGGAGTTACGGGAGTTACGGGTATGGCGACTATGTCGGTTACGAGTGGAAGCAGGTTAATCCCGCTGCTTCCCGGCTCTTCTGGCCTGCTCCTTCTTGCTGTAAACCTTAGGCCACAGCCCCTGGAGAATACGCTTACGGTAATCGATTCGATTACCGTCGAGGCGTGTGCTGCATTCCTTGCCAAGCTGTGTCAGCTGTTCAGCCGCATAACTCCCGCAAACGAAACAGAACCACAACCTCAGCCCCGTGTGATACCGGAGAGTGTGAGACCCATGAGCGCACCCCCCCATAATGTGCACCCTTTGCCCAGGAGGGGGTCTACAAATGACGCCGTCCACACTAACTAGATCGAAACACGGTGAGCGCAGCCACTCGTTCTTACATGCGAGTGCGGTCGACCCCTTACAACGCGTGCAACAACGGCCATTCTCACCTAGGTGGTGCGACGAGGCGAACATTGCACAAACACTTGCTGCAGGGGGTTGCACAACCACAGAGGATTTACGATGCCTACGCCGAATGCCGAAACCCTCATCCTGTGACAAGAGCTCCTCTGCTTGTATGGCCTCTAGTGTGCTCTGTAAAATACGCATGCGTACAGCAAAGGCCATATATTCAACACTATGTACCCGTGCGCGTGTGCCTTCAGACAAGCGTGTCACCGCAGCTCCAGCTGCTGCAAACTCATCTGCTACTGCGTTGCCTACGATAATGTACCTGGGCGAATGCTCTCCTATCATGTGCTCGGCTCCGAGGTGAGAATTAATGAAGAGAACCGTGCAGTGCAAATCTGGCTTACGAGACAACTCCTGCCCTATGCGCCACCACAGGTCGGCGTCGGGGCCTGCGGGGGGAAGCCAACGGGATTCGTACCAGCCTGAGCACACTGCAGCATTATCTGTGGTGTATATGATATGTCCCGCACTCTCGCGAACACACACCCACAGACTGTACAATTCACCTCGAGCGACTGTCTGCCTACATCCTGGGAGAGCAGCCCACGTGCCAACATCTATGTGTATGTCATCGTCTAACGAGCGAAAGAGGGCGATGCCTATCCCGACGCGACGGTGGAGGGGGTGGTGCGTTTCCTTGCCTCCACTGGCGTCCCCGAACAAGTATAAAGGGGGTGAAGTGGAGGAGGAGCTCGCTCGCTCGCTATCTGCGCATGGCCAAGTCTCGCTGTTCGGGGAACGACGCTGGCCGCAGGGCGTTCGGGAGGCACTATGCTCCCGCCGATGTCAAACTCTAGGGGAGCCCCTCCCCCAGCAATCAGTTTGGGGACTCCCTGGTTGCAGCGCAGGGTCGAGAGGCCTGTACGTGCTTACACAGACTACATCTCGAGGACGCAGGGGAAACAAGTGGAACAGCGGCGGCGGCCGAGAGCGGCAGCAGCGGAGAAGGAGAGGGGGGAAGAGGCCAGCCA